AGCGCTGCCCTGCTCCCAGGCGGCGCACTGTAGCAGTGCGCCACCGGGCCGGCCCGGAAGTGATTTTTTTATATATATTAGTTTATAATCACAAAAGTAGGGACTCTTTTGGTGGCCTTATTCAGTATGCAGTTTAGGGGAAAAGTCAAGAGAGCTACTTCTCACTGTAGCCTTTAAAGTCAAGAGAGCTACTTTTCACTGTAGCCATAAGACGTTCCTGTCACCTTCAGGTGCCTTTGCCCAAAAAAGCCTGCATAAAGTGTAACTTCTAGGATAACAGTGTGTGCTGTTCAGTTTGTCAGAGTCAAGCTCAAAGGCAGCCTAAAGACCAGTTACCTTTGAGCAACTAGAGCTGGGAATACATTTCCAGTCTGAAAAACATGTGGTGTGACAACAGTCAACAGATTCCAAATTCTCTGCTCACTGGAGCATTTGTAGAGTAACCTATCATGGGAGATACAGGAAGCCTTCTCTGCATGTTTTTGGAAGCCAGAGCAGTGTCCAAAAGTGATGAATAGAGTTATATCCCGAGTTGGAGCCTGATGTGGTATAGGTAAAGTTCTAAAGTGAGAAGACTCAGCTGTGTTAATTCCAGCTTCACCTCCTGCTTTCGGACTTCAGACAAGTCATGAGACTTCTTGCTCCTCCATCCGTGAAAGGAGACCTCCGATTCTACCAGGTGGCTGTGAGGGTGACATGTGAAAGCATCTCCTATACAGTAGCTCATGGAGGAAACCTCTCTAGCAAAACCACTAGGTCAAGTCATGCACCCTTGGTGAAGCCCTGACCTAAATGCTGCCTCCTTTAAAATATACCATTCCAACACAAATACTTCAGTGCTATTTAAATAATTAGACCTATCATTTCCTGTGAATACTTTATTATTTTTATTTTTGGCCAGTATGGGGAACTGAACCCTTGTGTTACAAGGCCATGCTCTGACCAGCTGAGCTAACTGGCAGCCTCCTGTGGATGGTTTATTAATGAGTAATGATTCTAATACTAAAAAAAGGCCTAACTCATACAATAACTTAAATGTTTTGGGGATTACTGATTATAGTAGTCTGTACATATAAGACTTCAGCCTAGGGTGGTTTTATAATAACTGCTAGGATTTAATTGATATTTGAACAAAATGAAATTCATTATATTATAAAATACATTATTTCTTTTATGATCTATAAAGTACTTACCATTATGAATTTCCATGAATGTAGTGTTTAGTGAAGTTTTTTTCTTAACGTAAGATAATGCCAAATAACCAACTATTATTCTATCATTTATTTAGGAAAAAGTTTTACATATTAGGATAAAGTAGGAATAATCAAAACTAAAATTTAGTAATTTCCAACCACTCAATCCTGATCTAATAGGAGCCATGAGAACAGCCTCTAAAAAGAATTACACTTGAGTGCTATAAAAGGGAGAAAGGATCTCATCTGCATCACTTCACACTGATATGCCCCGGCCACGTCTGTTATCTCGTACTACAGTATCCCCAAGCATATGCACAAATGCCATTGGAAAGACTAGCACAAAAACCACGGCCTAAACTGCCATCTTCAAAGAAGACTGACATGCTGCTATCTGTATGTACATACAGATTAAAAGTGCTGCTGCTCAGAAACAGCACTTTAATTAAGGAAATGATCTCTACTGTATGTTTATAAATTGGCATAGTATTTTTATTTTAAATGTTTTTTAAAAAATGGAAACATCCACTTCATTGAGAGAATTGAACCCAGGTTAGAACATTTTTATGTAGCCAAATAATGACTTTCAGAATCCATGTATGCTGAGCTCACTGGCCCACAGGTCACGCACAGCACTGCTCACTATAGCATTAGAGCAAGCGAACAGTTTTCCCAGTCACTGTCAAGAAGTCGTCATCAGCCAAGGCACGTAGAGCTTCTTCAAACATATCTTTGGTAATTGCCTTTGGGGAAGAGAAGGAAAATAAGTATTTTCTATGTCCAACCCTCCTCTGACTGTTAGAGACACAATCACCTTAATGTTAAAGCACCACCCAGAGTCGTTTTCCCTTTTGGGTGGTTATACACATTCCTTAAGCTCTAAATTGGGGGTGGCAAACATTTTCTGTAAAGGGCCAGATGGTAAACACTGTGGGCTTGGTGTCTGTGCAATCCCATTTTAACTACTGAACTCTGTCCACACAGTGACGGTGCAGCTGTGGATAGTAATGTAAGGGCGTTATGAAAGCAGGCGAAGAGCTGGTTTACCCATGTAGTTCTTTTTAATGAACTCACCTTACTCACAAAAGGGTACCTGAATATTTCAACCCCCAAACAAGTTCATCCACACAGAAAAACTCTGAAAGGAGTATAACTAAATTTTAATTATGATTATTTCTTAATGGGCTTATGAATGATCTTACTGTTCTTCTTTATTCTTGTCTACATTTATTAGTTAAACAATGAAGAAAAACAAACAAAAAAGCAAGAAAAAAAACCCCCATAAGCAATATTAAGGAAAAAGAGAACTTAAACAAAAAATACATTTAAACACTTACTATGTCAGATTGTCTCCGAATGTCTTCAAAAAGTTGCTGGTATTTTAGAGCTGGTGTTTTGCCCTTAGATAAAATAAGTTTTTTCAGCGCTTCAGCTAATTCTTCTTTCCGTTTACGAGAGGTGGCACTCATTCCTGATTTACAAAATCAATAAAAATATTTCTGCTATTAGAGAGCGGAATGTCTCAAATTCCCATAAACATTCCTTTAGTAGCATCACCAAGAAAGGTAAAGGGTACAGTGGCTGAATGCCAAAATACATCCAAAAGCAAAGTCAGTTTTAAGTTCTCTGCTGTTTAAAAATGTCTGTAATCCAGTAGCTGCTACTTTCCAATGACACATAGTCTATGTAATCTGTACAGGATGCAGTCACTGTCTATTGAAATACTAACTACTACTTAGAAATGGGTTAACATGTGCATGTAGACAGCAGGGGAGAAGGGAGAATCCCCTTAAGATTACATACAAAATACTGTATGTATTAGTGTATATTTTATCAGAAGATTGGGGACAACTTTCATCAGATTCTCAAAGGAGTCTTGATCCAAAAAAAGGTTAGGAACTTCTGCTTCAAATGACTTAACCGTTAGCTTAAACTGAAATGTCAACTACTTCCATATTTAAATAATTCTCAACATAAATAACAAACCTGTAGTAAGAATAGATATGTCCACAATGCCAGTGCGGGGGTCAGTTGCAGACTGCTTCAGAGCCTCACGATGGAGGCGTTTGGCCTCTTCCACATCAATTGCTTCAACTTTGTTTGAAAATCGTACTTTAGCATGGGCTTCTGCTAAGCGAATTAACGATTCCAGCTGTCGAGGGTACGCAGAAACCATTCCTCGGCTACTGCCGATCTTCCTCATGTCTACATAAGCCTACTGCAGGTAGAAAAACAAAAGCAAAACCCCTTGGTGACAATAACCTAGATTCATGGTTTTTTTTTTGTTGTTGTTGTTTTGTTTTGTTTTTAAAGGGCAGCTGGCCAGGTACGGGGATCCAAACTCTTGTTGTGGTTGAACTTTGAACAGTTAGGGTTCCCTTAAATAAAGTGAACTGCCTGTCTGCCACATGGAGGTCCTAAAAGGGAATCAAAAAGTCAGACCTAGCCCTCGCCTCAGAGCTCATCAAGACTAACACAGACAGACCATAGAAATCCGGGGAGGACTTCAATGTCTAGTATGCAGTGATGGTTGGAAGTATTCTGACTGGGAGATCTCTGGGAACACTTCTTGGAGAAGGCAGTATCTGATGTAGCCTTGAGGAACAGAGCAGGGCATGATGTGGCAGATGGGGACACTGATATGTGGGGTGACGAGCTGGCTGTGGTTAGAGCAGAGAAAGATTTAGAGGGCCTGTCTGGAAAAGTGCTCAGGCACTAACCCCAATCTACACCCTTAGTTAGGGGCCCATTTGATGAGGGACGTAAAGGATTACTGTGGTAACATTATGAAGGTAAGTTGTGTTAATTCTTTATACAGATGGACATAATTTCATTCCTTCATGAACAACCCTCAAGAATACAATACAAAAGGAAAATTACATATCATCTGCAACTTTCATTTGAGCATTTTCAGGAGCTCAGTCAGGATGTAGAGCCCATCAAGGCACTGGGAATCTTCTTTAAATCACAATGCTCGAATAAATGTGCTATCATGCACTGCTGCCCATGTACAAGCACAGTGAAAAGTGAACCTTAAATACTTACCACTCATTTCGTTTTTTACAGAGATGACTTGTCCGGAGTTACAAAGTCACTAAGTAGCATCACCTGTATTTGAACTCAGGTCTTTTGATCTTAAATTCACTATGCTTACACGTTATTTAAATATAAAAAGTGTGTCTTTATATTTAATGGCACTATCTGCATAAATGAATTCTTTCCCCTTTTACAACATTTAGAAAAGTCAAATTTACAACACATGAGAAAACAGTAAATACAGAAAACGGTATGCTATTCTTAAAGTAATTAATGTTTTAGAGGGGATGACCAGCTGACTACATTAATGCTTTTGGCTACAGGCTCAGTAAAAGCTTTCTGCAGGCCTGGTTACCTCGATGAGAGCTTGGCTAGCCTCCTCGCTCAACCAAGGCGTGATGGCGCTGTGCGCATAGGCGATGTAGTCCTTCAGTACTGCCATGTCCAGGAACTCCTCCTCCACCTGCTCCTCGCTCTGGTAGTACAGTGCCACCAGGTGGTGGGCCAGACGCCTGTCATAGGCTTCATCCCGAGGGTCCAACATGAGGAAGATCAAATCAAACCTGAGAAAAGGGAGTAAAAACACTATTTTCCTGCTTGGGACACCAACATACCTACACACAAAACTAAGTACATAGGTGTGTACACAGTGAAGGTGTGCCTCACGAGGCCCCTGGGAGGACAGGCATCTTCCTTCCCATCAAGGAGGGGGCTTTGGGCTGATCCCACCCCTCAGGTCTTTCCAGGAGCCACGGGGCACCAAACAGCTGAGTCACAGAAGTACTTCCCTCAGGAAAATGTTATGTAATTTTGAGATGAAGATTTGAATGAAAACACATTCAATTGTTTTAGGAAAAAAAACTATCTGATAAACTCAAGTTATTAAAATCAAAACTCCATTTATGAAATAGACCAACACTGGCAGTGAGGCTGAGAAAAAGTGTGAATTATCTGGCTCTGCTTTAACAAATCTAATCTTTCAGAACCTTATCTACTGTACAAAGCTGTTCTCTACACTTTGTTGATTCTCCATAGTGGCTTTAAGATTGAGAGATAAGAGTTGTGAGAGATAGTCACCTGGAAAAGATGTCAAGGAGAAACATCTGAGTTGCTTCAAAAAACAAATGAATGTTAAGACACTACCTACAGTTGGGCAGAAAACACATAATAATCCTTGCTATGAAAACCCTTGACCAACCAAATTGGAAACATTTTGCATTACACTGAAGAGTTTATATTAGCAGTTGCTGAATCTTAGTATTTCCTTCTCAATCTCACCCTGAAAATTCTACAAATGAGCAAAATAAAATCATCTGTTTTATAAAAATGTTTTAATACCTTGATAATAACGTATGAGGGAGCTGGATGTTTTCGATGGTGGTTTTTTTAGGATTCCATTGAGACTCAATGGGATTTGCTGCTGCTAGGACAGAAGTGCGTGCGTTGAGCTGACAGATGATCCGGCCTATCAGAGAAAGCAGTGCAGTCAGGGCCCCTCCCTGACTGGAACAAGTTCACCAGATCTCCTAGTAAACCCACACGCTCTCTGCTATTTTTCTGTAGTCTGAGAGCCACATCACCTTTACAGACTTCAACAGTTCTACCTGGTCATGCCTGTTCTCAAATTCATGCCAAGGCCTGAATTTCGATGAATGTGTGCTACAACCATGTCCTTCTCCGAAAGCAAATCCCTTACATGAGCTTTAGGACAAACTCAAGTTCTGTGAATACCATATTAGTGGGTCAGTACACAAAAAAGTCAAGAGAGGATACCCTGTAGGAAGATGGAGATGAAGCTGAACTGACATGAAAAGTACTTACCAGTTTTCCCAAGTCAGAACCAGGGCAACACTGCATGGTTCCACATATTTATCTCAAGGATCCACACATTAAACGCGTCCGCACCCACACAGATGAGAATGTGCCTCACTTTAGCAATGGACAGCGTCTGTTGTTCCATGACCTCGTGCAACACAGATCTTGTACTTTCGCTCATCTTGTCGAACTCGTCGATGCAGCAGATGCCGTTGTCACTCAGGACCAGGGCCCCCGTCCCGCCTATCAGAGAAAGCAGTGCAGTCAGAGCCTCTTCTTGCTGTTGGCAGGAACAAGTTCACCAGATCTCCTACTAAACCCACATGCTCTCTGCTATTTTTCTGTAGTCTGAGAGCCGCATCACCTTTACAGACTTCAACAGTTCTACCTGGTCATGCCTGTTCTCAAATTCATGCCAAGGCCTGAATTTAGATGAATGTGTGCTACAACCATGTCCTTCTCCGAAAGCAAATCCCTTACATGAGCTTTAGGACAAACTCAAGTTCTGTGAATACCATATTAGTGGGTCAGTACACAAAAAAGTCAAGAGAGGATACCCTGTAGGAAGATGGAGATGAAGCTGAACTGACATGAAAAGTACTTACCAGTCAGAACCAGGGCAACACTGCATGGTTCCACAGATTTATCTCAAGGATCCACACATTAAACGCGTCCGCACCCACACAGATGAGAATGTGCCTCACTTTAGCAATGGACAGCGTCTGTTGTTCCATGACCTCGTGCAACACAGATCTTATACTTTTGTTCATCTTGTCGAACTCATCGATGCAGCAGATGCCGTTGTCACTCAGGACCAGGGCCCCCGTCTGCAGCACCAGCTGCCTCGTCTCAGGGTCTTTCATCACATATGCGGTGAGGCCAACTGCACTGGAGCCCTTCCCAGATGTGTACTGGCCCCTAGGAACCAGGTTGTACACATACTGCAGCAGCTGGGACTTGCTGGTGCCAGGGTCTCCACACAGCAGGATGTTGATCTCAGCACGAAACTTGCCCCTCCCCGTGTGACTAAAATCCTTCCTTGTTCCGCCAAAGAGCTGAAGCAAGATTCCCTAAATAGACAAACACACAAACACCTCTAACCATTCATTTACTGCAGAGTAACTGAGATTTAGTTTAAACTGCAGAGGAACTTTTCTACTCTACAAATAAGAAACTACAATTCAGAAATTGAAAGAAGGTATAAAAAAGCATGTGAAAGTGCTTCAGTCACTCCAAGTTACCACTGACCAGTTTGCACACACGCACACATCAGCATGCCAGAACGCTGACCACATACGTCCCTACCCTGACCCATGGGGCCTCTTCTTATGTTTGGAAATGTAAGTTTGGGGCAGAGATAAGGAAACAGCAACACTGCGATTGTCAAACAATGTCAAGTGAGGACGACAGCCTTTGCTTGGTCAGGCAGGCAATGACTCTCACCCTTTACAGTGGCCGGGATAGATGTTTACACCCTTTGATCCCAAAGAACCGTGAATTCCAACCCCAAGTCAAAAATCCATCGTTACCTTCTTTATATCTTCATGTTCATAAATGCTTGGAGCCAAGGCTGAAGCAAGCCTCTCATAAATATCTGGTTTTCTGGAAAGTTCCTTAAGTAACTCCACACGTTTCTCTGAAAAAAGTTTCTGTTCTGCTTCTTCACTGAGGCCATGCAGACGCTTTGCATCCGTTTTCTGATAGTGAATGACATCAATGTGGGTTTTGTAGACAGACTTCACATTGCTCACTCTTTGATTGACCCGGATAGGCACCGCGCGGTAGATGCCTGAGGGCAGAGGGCACAAACACAAGACATTCGTTAGCCTTCCGCATCTTCCCAAGGGCTCAGCAGCCGGTGCAGACCAAGTGCCTGCCCCTTCTGATTGAGTCGGGAGACGGCATCAGGAAAGGGTTTCTGTAAGCGGTGGATCTAAAAACATGTTTCCCTGTGGCCCGAGGCAGCTGTCTGAGTGTAACCACACCACATACAATTGTTCTGAGGGTGAAATGGAATTATGTTGCCTCTAACACAATGCCTGGCTTATGGTTGTGTTCAATAAATATTATTTTCCTTTCCCTAAGCTGAGTGTACAGAATCTGCTTAGCACTTATTTTATTGCAACAAAATGCTAAAATCCCACGCCAAAAACTTGGAAAGAAAAGAAATTCTAAAAGCTCAAATCTTGCAAAAACCACTCAATTTATTTCCTAGGCAGTCTACTGTGTCAAAGGTGAAGGAAAAATTACTATTTTCTATTAAGAGAAGGGGTTTCTGGGTGAGGGGCTGCTCCAGGCCAATTCTGTTTCCTGATGCTTTCTGAGGAAAACATCCAAACTCTCTCTCACGGCTTTCACAACATGATGGTACAGACCAGATTTTATTGGAACAAAATGCTAAAATCCCACGCCAAAAACTTGGAAAGAAAAGAAATTCTAAAAGCTCAAATCTTGCAAAAACCACTCAATTTATTTCCGAGGCAGTCTACTGTGTCAAAGGTGAAGGAAAAATTACTATTTTCAATTAAGAGAAGGGGTTTCTGGGTGAGGGGCTGCTCCAGGCCAATTCTGTTTCCTGATGCTTTCTGAGGAAAACATTCAAACTCTCTCTCATGGCTTTCACAACATGATGGTACAGACCACTGTCATTTCCTTTATTTAACAGGTCAATATAATTCTTATTTGAAATATAAAAGCCAGTTTATATGTTACATCTTAGAATACATACTAAGATAGACTAGAGATGGATGAGTATGTTCATGACGTTTAAAATGGTTTAGTTATTTTCCTTTATAGTACCTGCCACGATCGTCACATAACACTTATTTTACATCTACACAGCATTTCCCACAGCCCCTTTGCCCAAATACTTCCACATATATCACATTAACTCCACGTTGCAGTTGAGGAAATTAAAATATTGGATTAAATAATTTTTCAAAGGTTTCAGAGCAGTTGGGTGGCAGTACTGAGATTGCACACACATATCATTCACTAAAGACTACACATTCTTACTAATTTTCAACTACTATGCGTACTTTTACAACTTAATGGGCTGGCCTTTAGCTCAGTTTGTTAGAGCATGGTGCTGATAACACCAAGGTCCAGGGTTCAACTCCTGTACTGGCAAGCCACCACAAAACAAAACAAAACAACATGACTGAAGATTGCTGGTGACAACTGCTGGACTTCTCACTGGGTAAGAAATAGGGTAAGTCCTGATTTACTGAAGAGCAGAAGGACTGTGGCCCCAGGCCCCGCCCATGAGCCAGGCACTCCAGGACTCAAACCCACATGGCCATCAAACATCCCCTGAGAAACCAAAGCCTACGTGTTATCCTCAGGTGCTGCTGTGGAAAGAGTACTCACTCGTCTGGCAGGACTAGAGAAGGATCTGGATCCTGGTGCTGTGATCTACCGCAGCACTTGCACTACAGCTACCTACATGTCTCTGAATCTCAGCTTCTGAGCATGTGAACAAGATCCCCTGACCCGTTCTCTAAAATGAACAAATGTTAACCCTTAGCTATACATTTGGGAAGTAGAAAATTATTTAAACACCAGAGCTGGCCAATGATACTTCCCTGAGTTGCTGGTGCAGCTCACATCTTACCAACACCAGCTTTGTTGGAGGCTGCGTTCGCATGACCACAATACTGTCCATTCCAGATACACACACAGCTCTGGGACACTGAGATAGCAAAAGGCAAGTGATCACAAATTCCAAAATCCAACTTTGGGAAGAACTGAAAGATTTCATACTGTTGGGCCACAGTACTAAGCTAAAAAGGTGGGAAAAAAGGGATATACCGATAGTCTCAAAGACAACTGGAGGCAGAACTAACCCCATTCCAATGAATTCATGACTGAGTCAAAAAGTACGACAGACATCCTATCCTGTTAGTACAAACCTCCCTTCTTACCTGTAACATTCACTCTGTCCCCAGGCTGAACTTTGTCAACAAGATCGTTGTGAGCAAAAAGGATGACAGTGTGAGGTGTCTGCCCTGCAGGCATATCTTCAGGAGACTCTTGAAGCTTGATCTGAAGGAAGGGTGGCAAACAGAAAGCTTAGGACACAAAGAAAGCATGATGCAGACAAAAACTGTGTGTCCTTATACTGTTCAGAGACAACTGCTTTTAATAAACAAACATATATCTTTTAAAGATTTAACATTCCCGTCTTGGGGATGGGGATGATTTAAGTGATTCCTGTTTTAGGCCAGCCTATCTCTTTGTCTACACTTCTAATCACTTCTTTAGAAGATACTTCTAGTAGATTTCCTGGGAGGACACATTTTTAAGGTTCACCATTTAGGCACTTCTGTGGCCCTCACAAATACTTGCCTGTGTATTTGTCTACATCCATTCATTTAAGAGATATCTGCTAAGCATCAGCCCCATGCCACACCCTGTTCTAGGTGTTGGGGACTTACAGTGATAAAGCTCCCTCCCTCATAGAGTGGAGGGGGACAATCAATACACAGACAAGTGAGCATGTAACAGATCTGACAGTGACAAACGCAGTGAACAGAAACAGAACAGGGTAAACAGTCCAAGGACCACAGGCGGTGGGAGTGGAGGAGAGGCTTGTCATAAAGCAAGGTTAGGAAAAGCCTCTAAAACCAGGTAACCTCTGAGCAAGGTCTAAGGATGTTAGGGGTTTTATTCTAAGCCAGTTTGGGAGTCTTTGAAGGATTCTGAGAAAACTAGGCTGTAAGCCCCCGTGAAGCAGGGCCTCTGCCTTTGTATCTCCAGCTCTCAACACTGCTTAACATGCCATTAAACATTAAAGAAATTGCTTGAACATTGTAACAAAATAAAAATAACTTAACGAGTCCTTGTCCTTGTGCAACTTTCACCTCGTTACAATCATAGTAAATAAACGATTTTCTGCCTTTCACCCACTTATTCCTATGTCATTTTAATAGCTTTATCTTAAAATTTTCAGGATTAGAGAGGTATTCCTAGAAAATAAAATTTGTGAAACTCTAGAAAATTTCTCCATCTATTCTTTACCAATGGAACAATTGCAAAATGACACAATTTAACCAGATAATTCTGATCTCCAATGTTTTAAAAAAATTATATAATCTTAAATATTTCCCATAAAAGCAACTCAAGTTAAATTTGATTTAATAAATCAAAGAGTAGGCTAATTTGATCTCTTAACTTATAAATGACCTGACACTTTTAAGATGTTTGCAGTGGAAAAATGTATTTTTTCTCTTATGAAGTATTTAGGTCATGAAAATGTGGAATATACAATCCTGAGCTGTTGTTCACTGGCCACATGGCAGGGATGCTATGACCCGAGGCTGAGGCTTCCTGTGCTCTGCACACTCCAGCCCACAGCCCACAAACAAAACCTGCAACCATCAGAAGCTGCTGAGTGCCACTTAGGAAGCAAAGTCGAGGGCCTCAGAGTGACAAGGTAAGTTTGGTTTTTTGAGGATTCAGACACAGGCAAGACAAATGCCAGGTGGCGCATACCATCTGCTTGTCAGAGAAGAGGGAGCGGTTGTGGATGAGTGCCATGCTGTGGGCGGTGTGGCAGCGCAAGCAGGCAGAAGGCTCGGCAATGCGGCCACGGTCTATCTCCACCCTGGCCGTGTGGGCGCACACTTGGCACTGGAAGAAGGCCTCCTGCATCTCAGGGATCAGCTGGGATGTCCTGATCACCATGCCACTGATGGTAATGAGCTGGTCGATGTCTGCGTAGGGAGACAGAGGTCAGCTTGCCCACCAGCCACTCCCACAGCCCAGCCAGGTCTGGGTCTGTTGGGGCACAGAGGTGCCAGGAGGGTGGGGGTCATGGGCACAAACAGCTCGATGGGCCCCTCAGGTCTGGCCTGGGATCCGTTCCTGTGTCCAGTCTGCCTTCCTCTTCACCCCAGCAGACCTGTGGCCTTTCTGTCCGGGAGGCCTCCCACCACCCCTTTCCCATGCCTGGCATCGGGTCAGGAGCTTGACACTTGTGCCTGTCGTGCCCCACACCTCCTACCTCACTCACCGCACCATGGGAGTCCTGTTGCCTCATGCAAAAAGCTTGTGCTCTATCTAGAGCCAGCCAGCCTGGACTGAGTGTGTGTGATCTTGGGGACACCTTTAGCATATCTGTGACTCATGTATAGCACCTGCCTCAAGCTGCTGAGGACAGAATGAGTTAGTTATCCATTGAGCCTAACAAGACACTGCCCGGCAGAGTTAAGGCATTCAACACCTTAGTTGATCTGCACTATCAAAAGAGAAGCACTTACAGTCAACTTTCACTCTTGCTCCTGCTTCCTTTACCATTTGGACCTCTCCCAACAGACTTTTACCCTTTTCACAACAGACTTTTACCATTTGAAGGTCATACTACTTCCAAGTAGTTTCCACTCTTGGTTGCAAATGAGCTACCGTATTCTGGCGGTCAACAAAAAGCAGCCTGTGGTTAGCCCTTTGCGGGCCTCGGAGACTGTCCCATCATGCCAGCACCTACTGCTGATTTAAATTCTGAAGAATTTGATCCTGTCTTCCCTCCACCTACTTAGAAAGCTTCCTTGCTTCTCTTCTTGCTAATCTTTCTTTCACTTTAAAATGCAATTTGATAGCTTTTGAAATCAGTTACCTATCAATCCCTTGATTTCTAAAATGATGAAAATCTCCAGTGTCACCCGGCAATTCTTCCCATAACAATGCCCTGCCTCTCAAAATTTAAACACATCCCTCTAACCCAAACAGCTCTCTACCTTCGCCAGCATGCCCACAGAACTCCCCATCAGAGATAATGTCAGGAGTCAAATTTATAAGAGAAAAAAAATACACTTCTTTAGTAAGTAGTGAAGTCAAACACTTACTCATGTCTATTGGCTATGTCTTCTCTTCTCACTGAAACTTTTTTGTCTCTTAAGCACATTTATCTACAGAGGTATTTACTAATTTTCAACAGCGTTTATACTGCAATCTTCACACATGGCAAATCTCAGGTTTGTCCTGTATTTTTACTCCCACGGCCACTGTCCAGGTTAGGACCCTGCTGCCCCACGTTTGAGCTACTATCAACAGCTACTAACTGAATTAAATATACCGTGCGCTTTAGAACCACTGTGAACTTCAAGAGGTGCACAATCATCCTCCTCAAGAACTATCAATGGCTCCTTATTAACTCTGGAATAAAAATTCAGACTCTCTAAGTTGGTGTTCACAGTTCTTCACGACCGAGGCTTTCCACTCCACTCAAACATCACCTCCCACACTCCCTGATGCAGCCCGCCCGTCGCTTAGCATCCATACGTCACTCTGCTTCCTTTTCTCCTGTATTCCTTCTTTCTGTCATCTAGAACAAATTCCTTTATGTTGCTTTCCAAATCCTAACTGTAACCCAAATTTCTCTTTCACTATGAACTTTCCCCACATAGGCTTAGCACTCTGCTCCTCTCCCTGGGCTGAGACATCTCCTGCCCTGTTCTTCTGCCTCATCTTTTATCTACTTCCCAAACTACATTTCTTTCTTAAGCTTAACAGCAGGGATCATATTTTGTATTTGTTTTCTACAGTAACTCTTTTAAGGAAATGCTTACTAATAAAATAACTATAGACTTATTATACTGGGGAAAGTTCACCTTAAGGTAGACAATTGTCAATAGTCACATCTCTTATATCGGAAATCTCAATTAAGTTAAAAAGGTATAGTGGGTTCATAAGTCCACAGAATAACTGAATCTGTGTGTCAATTTATAGTTTATTGACACCACTACCACCACCAATTATTTTAAAGTTCTTTAATAAAATAAGGTTTTGCTTATTTTCACATGTAAACACATTACCTTCTGGATTCAGGTTTCTCATATTCCTAGTCTTCAATGCGTTGAATGGTCTTACTTGAATCTGATGTTCTAAGATTGAGTCAGGATAACGGTCAAAGAAGATCTCATTGACAGCCATGTCAAAAGTTGGTATTACTTCCTATCAAAACAAATGCAAAGACACCAAGTTATTCTTATATTCCTACCTCAGAGTTAAATATAATAAAGCACTTTATATTAACAAAAAATAAAAACAAAAAAACATGGCATAACCCTAAAGAACTACCCTGTAGAATCATGCACATTACTGTTTCCAGAATGTAGGTACACTGAATTACCCTTCCTCTGCATATTTTCATGTAGGTTAAGTGTGATAACATACATGAAAAAGCCTTAACATAACTGGCATATTTTATGCTTTCAATTAGGAGGGGAAATAATTTTGAGCTCATACTTTCATGTCTTATTTTTCCACCATAATGAAATGGTAGCAAGATAGATTAAACCATACTTATTTTATTCAAATTTGTTAACATATCATTACCATTTTATAGAAGACAAAAGAGCTTTTAGGAGGCTAAGGAACTTGACTACGTTATGCAGCTAGTAACCATCAAAGCCAAGATTGAAAACTGAGTCCATTTGCCCCAAGCCTCTGCCCAGAGTCAACGTAGCTAAATTAATAAAGACTGATGTTTGATATAATAAATTAAATAAATAAACCAATAAAGACTGACCTTAGGTCTAGGAGAAAAAGACCACAGTACAGCTAATATATTCTGTTAAAGATGGCAGAAAGTATATAATGCATTTATAAAACATTTCTACTTAAGATAAACAACTTCATGAAACTCA